CTAGTGAAGTACCTTGATTTTCAACTTTGCACTCACATCAGATCTCTTTCCTTTACTTCATAGAGCTCTATTGCTGTCTATTAAACTTTTAAAATATTACTAAGCCACACTGAAGTAATGGGGAAGACGTTCCTGTGTTACTGTGAAGAAACCCACAAGGTTACACTTCATACAGACATCCTTAGGAACTCATGCCCCATTAAGAAACCCCAAACTATCCCTTGATAGTCTTTAACAAACGTGTTAACAGATAATGACAGAGGAACACCATTTTTGAATATCACCTTGTTTAAAGGTGTAGGGTAGAACTACTCTTCCCCTGATGCTTCATCACTGGGTTGGTTAGTAATTTACTGTAACACACAGAACTGTTGGTAATGGAGTTGCACTCTATGTATATCTAGGTTTTCTAATTGTAAATACATTTCCAGCCTTTGTATTTGTCTTATAAATCTGTTGTTTAAATGTTTTAAAGTTGGAAAATGCAAATAATTTGTTCTAAACATGTTGAAAGTTGAGTTTTATAAACAAAATGTCCTTTTCTTTTCAAAATAAAACTTTCAGTATCAAACTATTACACAGAGACTTGATGCAACTCAAATTCACAGCAGTGAATATCTTGATATCTTTTCCCAGCTGGAGAATAGCTTTACAATTCCAAAACATAAATATCCCATATTCATTACTGCATTGTCGACAGGGAGGAGAATAGTTCGATCAAATTTATTGAGTTTCACTCGAGTGGGGGGGTATTTATACTCAAATCTATACCTAATTGTAATATCATGGAGGAGCGTTCAATTTATTGCACAGTCACAGTCAATCTTCTTCAGTAACGCAAAATCTAAGACCTGCTCCTGGTTTATGGGGGAAAAAAACATTAGAATTGTCAGAATGTTATGCAAGTGGAACATTTTGACTGAAGTAGCAGAATTAATAAGCTGCTCAAGTTTGTAAACTGTCGTAGGAAATGCTGCTCTCCAGACAAAGAAGTACAAATAGGACGAGTCTGCAGCTACATTAAATCTTACATAGGTGACCCAGCAATTTTATAGGAGTCCTATGCTTAGTGAGGTTTAACCAGTGTATAGCAGCGATGTTACTGAACTTAACTGCTCCTCTAATAAAGCATCCTGGCAGGGTTTCATACAAACCCCTGCTAGTAGCCAGAAGCTGTGAACTTTTGATTTATACATGAAATAATGCAGAGCAGCCAAGCTTTTCAATTTCCAAATGTCATTGACTCACCTGCATTAGCTTAGGATAGGATATTGTAGGTTTGTCACTTTAGTAACTGCATCAATAGCATTGGTTTATTTAAGATCTCAACAATGGTATCACAATGGAGTTTACATCGATGAATACGGATGACGTGTCAAGTTTTCATGACGACTACTGATGATGTAATGGCTTCTTGAAGTGTCGTCCCAATTCATGGGGGAAGATTTTAACCACTCCCCCTTGTGACTCTGTTTCAAGGGCCAAGATAACCCTCGAAAGTGTGAGTGATTAGAAAACAGAGGAGCAGAATCACTTGTTGACTAGCGAGTAATGCGCCTCAATGCAGTTACTAAGGGGGGGGCCAGGTGGGGCCCCCTCGATACATACAGTAAAGGCTAATCAGAGTTTGTCCTTTTAATCTTAAGGTGCAGCACACAAGTTTAAACTGAATGAATGTTAAATTCATGTGGAGAGCACTGAACACCGTCATACACTCACATTTTAAAAAAATATGGTACAGTTATAATGACAGTAATAGTCTATAATACCTTTTAGCACTTTCTAAATAAAAAGAGAGACTTCTTACTATTTGTCTGACTGATTTCATTTACTGATATTATTCAGGGGTACATTAAATCCAAAAATGTTTTTGTACCCTTTTTCTGCGGTTAAAGTTTTGTAGTTAAGGTTTTAAGTAAAAGTACTTGTTTGACCTTTTATTATTCAATTAAGCTCTGAGAAATGTTACTTCATGGGGGTGAATATGCTTGTTTAGTGTATAAATAGGTTTTTTAATACAATAACAAGCAACAGGGCCAATATATTGAATCCACCCCCACTGGGCTCAGCTCGTATCACCATCCCAATTCTTCTAACAGTGCACACATGCAGACATTGCAGAGGACAATTTCTACAATGTACTCTAAATTGAACTGAATATAGGGATGTGAGTTGTGGCCCATTTCAGGCCCCATCTTCTTCATTATGCACCTTTAAAGTCGAGGTGGGTCCCAATTAGTCAACGTGGCTGTCATGTTTCAAAGGCTTAGCCAAACAATTATGGAAATAGAATTAATTAGCTTAGTCTGCTTAAAATGGAGTTGGACCAAGTCTGTTTATGTGGTTTGAATTAATCTATCTAATGTAGAGTAATGGACATTGTAACAATGATAGACATAAATGCTGTTACATTTCCTGTTGTTCATGCCATCAAGATTATAAACATTAAAAACTGCTCAAGTTTTTGAATAATATCATTTTTGGCCATTCCTTTTTTTTCTACTTTTCAAAATACAGTAAAAGCTGGAAAATATGCAATTTTATAGTGAATTATCATCCTATTTTAGCTTTTGGCAACAAATCCATAGCCATAAAAACTGAGGCCATTAGTCCAAGCAGCTCCATCCATGGATATTTTCAAATCGACCAGCATTTGGATATTGTCCAGTGCTCAGTTCAGCGATTGCTCTGTTTGCTAGACTACAAATCTGTATCACAGAGTCTGCATTACAAACTGGGGATGTAGAGGCTGAAAATCTTGGGCATTTACCAA